TTCCTGGGTCGACCCCACCTTCTCACTCCCGACAGATAAACACGAAAGAGGAAGTCACATAGAGGAAATAACGTTCAGCAAGTAGATCAGAAAATAGAATAAAAAGCCGGAAATCTGTATGTTTATCTGTGACATCTCCCACGACGGGATACAAAGATAAAAAACATTCTCTGATTGGACAAGTTTCAAAGGGCGAATTTGGTGCGAAAACGTTCTTGAAAATGGAACGGATGCAGCGATTGGCTAATTTCGTGAAAGGAATGTTGTTCAAATGTGAGAAGCCGTTTCTTTTGGGGGGGAACGTTGCGTGACATCCCAAAAACGACTGTGGAGGAGACTAGGCCTAGGCCGAACCCGGTTCATGAGTTACTCGTGACTTTTTAGTTTTGTACGTAAGTACACCGCGTGGCCAAAGCTCACTGTGAGTGAAAATCTGATCGTTGCTAGAAAGACTATGGGAGGCTGAATGTAAACAGATGTAAGCTCCGGGGAAAAAAACCCAGTAGAAAAGGCATCGCACTGTAGATCACCCAGAAAAATACAACTGGATAGTAAGAAAGGGCTACTGCAAACGAGAAACGGAGAAAAAGGAAGACCTGTATTTGAATATTTCCCCCGTGTTTTAAGGAACAGATCGTATGAACAATGTAAATTTTCTACGGCTCAGTTGCAGTAGACGTTGTGAAACTTGAGTAACTGACACAAATTGCGATGTGATTGTAATAATATCAACGCATAACGTAACGAATACAGCGTGGGGAATGTCATGTTTCACGCGAAGCGTAGAAACGACTATTGTCAGCGGTTAGAAATGCAAATTTGTCACTCAGTAAATGAACACAAATCGATATGTCAACGACCAATATCGATTGGGTCACAACATGCCAATTTGTCCCTCACTTAGATGTAAACAAATCGATATTGTACATATCTTACTTTTTATTGTCTACATTCAGTTTTAATAATTTTTTAAATATTTTTTAATTGTTTTATTATTTTATTTACATTTTTTACACGGCCCTATAAGCTATATTGAGCTTTAAAACCCACCGTGTTTTAAATAAAAGATGTTGTTGTTGTTGTTGTTGTTGAAATGTCAACGACCATCGATTTTCTAACGTTACACTATCCGAAATACATTTCGGCCTTCCTTCGATTGATACTCGTTGCGGTCAGCACATATGTAACCGACTCACTGCTAGTAGCTGTTAATAGACTAAATGGTTTAACTTTATTTGCAGAGATTGAATTTGAAGCTAGAAGAGTCTTTGAATCAAACATAACATAAACAAAGCTATTGGAAACGTCAGTAGCACAACTTATGTTCTTAGGAATATTTTATATTTTAATTCTGATTTTATCTCAGCGAATATAGTAATTGTAAGTAGTAATGTTATTGTAAATAGTCGTGCTCTTAGTAATATTTTATATTTTAATTCTGAATTTATCTTAACGAATATAGTAATTGTAAGTAGTAATGTTATTGTGAATAGTCGTGCGTTTTTGTCATGAGCCTCTGGCTCGGGAGATTGGGCAACCACTCCCCACGTTTACGACTTAAAATAAAGTTACCTTACCTCACCTTAATCTATCCAAACAAAACACTCTACAGAAAATTATCTACAGTTGTCACGAAAGGGCGAGGTGCTCCGGGAAATTCGTAAAGACCGCAAAGGTGTCAACAAAAAAACATATTTCAAGGATTCAATTTTCGGGGGTGGATAAACGTTTAAATTGCAATACACAAAACCATAACTACTGTGCTTCAAGGGCAGAGTTATTTTGACTTTTTTGCGTGCCCTTGTTAATTATCTCCGTTCAAGCATATAGCAGCTGATCGAAGCAGACCTCTCCATTCTGTAAGCAATGTATCTACGACTGCTTTATAGTTCTCCTTAGGCTCGACTAAGTTCTCCTTTGATTTGATACGGAATTTTTTTTGGCACATAAAACAGTTAACTTAATTTCCGTTTTAACAAAAGGGAGTTAATAATTAACTTGTACGTTGCTTTTTTCGTCGGTAGTGACCCAGCTAATCGGCCGAATACCTATCAATGCACGTTGCGTATATCAAAATATTCTGAGGTTCATGTATCCAATTACGTCTGACGAAATATACACCTCAAAAGTCCTATTAGAAACCGAACTGTGTTTCCGCATTCTACTTGAATATACCAGATTTAGCTCAGATGTGTCACGTACTTCGCGCTCCTCGAATATTCTAGGCTTCTATGGATTATTGACCAAGCGTGAAGTCAAGATGGCCGGATATTGGCCAAGTTCTTGCGTGTTTATGGACCGTGTTTATAGTTCACTTCAGACATATCCGCTTTGATTACGAAATTAACTTAATCCCCAGGTTATACGTGCCTCTAGCTACTTCTGAACTTTTGTGTTGAATCGTTGGCACGCAATGACAAGACCGTATTTACTTGACTGAGAACCGCGGCGCCCTTTAAGGTTACTTCCGACCTTTGCGGGTGTCCTTCGGAAAAAAATCCGTACGCGCGCTAGTTTCAACAAAACTCCAACAAGCTATGTATCAGAAGAAAGCTTAATAAATGTAGTTTGCGATAATTTAGGCGAACGTCTGAAAGGACGATACTGTTTTCGCCACTCCGCCAACTAAGAAAGCTTTGAAATTTATATAGGTGTAAAAATGATCCAATCAGAATCGCGCCGCGATGAGGTGAGCAGAATTTTCCAGGTAAATCTTAAGCTTACTTATAGCAACTACACGTTTGTATACTACGAGATCTTGCGTGAATATTTTTCAATTTGTTCAGAGTACTTCTTCACCGCGATTGGAGAATTGTGACAAAATTCAGTGTATCGAATTTGCCTTCTTAGGCATCTTCCACTCAGCTGTGCAGTCATGACCTCGAATTCACAATCTGGTCATTTACAATGTTTGTTAGCGGCGTTATGACCAGAAGACATGCAAAATTTCTAGCTTCAGCTCTTCTAGCTTCTTCTCGTAACCAATAATCACAGATGGAAATCAAAATCGTTCCGTAATCTTTCGGCAAAACAGCTAGCAAATCTTTCCTCTCAAAGAGCTGCCTGATTGCTTTCCTCTGCTCTATTTTTAAACTCATGCTTGAAACCGTCTCCTTCCAGTGAAAGGAGTGTTTCATGAAGTCGCTGAAAACGTTCACCATCCGAATCATCGGATCCGCCGTGTTGATGGTAATTCAGAAGACGCTAAAGTACTTTAATGTTATATCACTAGCCAATTAGAGCAATCAATTAAGTACGCAATGAATTTTCACCAGCAGGATTTTTACGTTCATTTGGTGAACGTAAAAAAACGGAGAAAACAATAGCGTCCATGCAGGCGTTTCACTCCGTTCCCCTCCGACTGCACCTCATGTTTCTAGTTTTCTTCTCTTTCTCTCCTACGAACGCCTGCCATGCGGGCTTCTAATACATTTTCTAGCATTGAAGAGGAACACACCAAAACGGGCCAAATAGTAGCCAAAGACGAAAAAACAAGCCAGGGCAAAATGATTAAGGCCAGCAAACGTACCGATACTGAACGACAACGAATCGACGTACAGACAACTTGAGAAATATGAAGAGCCTGTGTGGCTTTCAGAAACGGTTTTGTTTTTTTTTCCTTCCCAGAAATGGCCAATTCAGTTTGATGATGGTTCGATTTGTGAATAAATCAAGCGCTTACTCGAGGAGCGCTCGTTGTTTTTGCTCTCATATGTGCCTCATCGTGCGCGGCGCACAATCGAGTACATACCGTACCGACCGTATTGACTGGCAATAAGGCGCTAAATAATCGCTTATCTTTGATCCACAGCAGAGGTATTGGAAGCTACGAAGAGCGATGATAACTTATGTATGAAGTCCATTTTTACCGGCAGTATTTCTCAGGAGTTTGTGGATTAGGAAATCCAAAACACGCTTACGGGGAGTGACATAAATTCAGTTGCGCTTGCTTTTTTTTCGCAATCCGGGCAATAACCATTACAACTTGGCATTTTAGATTTTCTCTTCGCTTAATGGCGACATTTTTTTTTTTTTTTTCCTCCAATTCTCAGATGCTCGGAATCCTAAATCCTTGAACATGATTGGCTAATAGCTCGCGCTCCGGGGGTCCGGATATTCTCATCCAGACCCCGAATACGGACCGCTCCGAAATTTCCAACTTTGGCAACTTTTCAAGTTTTTATCGTTACAGGTGCATCGTAAAACAACGTTAAACGTAAACACTTAACACTGTCAAACAATTATGGATTCCGGTAACAAATTTTGCAAACAGTATCGCTTTTTGTGCCCGAAATGTCAAACGCACTGCACGTACGCCAGATTTGAACTGAACGGCTTTAAACACAAAAGTTTTAAAGCAACACCGTAGGGAGAAAGAAAACAAAGTATAACACATTATTTTCCGGCCTTGGTCGGTCCGTATTGGAAAAAAAAAACTGTGTCCCTTGTCTTGGACACGTACTCAAGACCTCGAGCACAGTTTTTCCCAATACGCACCAACCAGGGCCTTGCACGAAATGTAGTCAGTTAACAAATGTAGAGTGATTCCATCGAGTCGCATAGAATTTCAATTTTTATATTTCCTTTTTGTGTGCGGTTTACAATAATAATATTTAATGGTCTTAAATGGACATGCATGATATGTGATCATAAGATTAATTTGTTAATTCCCTTATTTCCTTTTTTAATTGCACCATTTCGATAGCAAGGACACAGCTCAGGAGGCAGTTCATGTGGCGGAAAATGCTACATTGCAGACATGAAGTAAACTGGGACTTTCTTCCTCGTTGTACCAGACATAGTACTAAATCACAAGAATTCCTTCTCTTGAACTCAAACTCAGATTTTTTGCCGGAGCCTTCGAGACCATTCGTTACTCTCCAACACTCTTGCATGGGTCTACCCTGAAAACGGGCAGTCATCATCATCATCGCCATCGCCATCATCATCATCTTAATCATCATTTCCAGCAAAAATTGAAAAATTATAATGATAAAAAATGTCGCAAGATTTTTTTTTTGAAGAAATATTGTTCTTAACATTGTAAATTCGTTCGAGCTATTCAACATGATTTTCTGTTTGCTGTACACGGCTGTACATGTCGAACATGACTTAGTTTGCAAAATAAACTTGCCAAAGGTTGCGTGCGAGTTTCAAAACGACAACGACAATGTGTCAATGTGGCATTATAATCAGTTTAATTAAATTTACAGAAGGCTGGATATTGTAAATTAGGGCAATATGTTATTGTAGTTTTCGACAGGCTAGTCATTCCAAAAAGCGACAGCTGCCATTACATTTTTGGACAGTTATTACTCGCGCGATCTGACTGTGCCCCCTCTTTTTGTCGTCAGCACCAAGAGACGCCATCAAAAAGCAAAAGTGAAAGTAGAAGGCAGGCAAAAATCGAAGATCAGATAACACTATAATTATACTATCTAGCCAAGATCGAAAAGAGATTTCTATGTGTTACACTTTTCGTGTTCAAGTAGCCTTGCGGGTGTGTACTCATTAAGCGAAATGACACCTCTCTCACCAAAAGCAAACACACCGCCACGCGAAAACTTAAAAAATCGAAACGCCGAAGGCTTTGAATCTACTCATCAGCACCATTACAAGACGCCTGGTTTGATGACGCACTGCAATTATATACGGTGAACTAAACTAGGCTTCTCTGCACCCAGTGAAATTAGTGGTTCCGAAAGGATCGAGTTCTCGAGCTTTAGCAAGCTGCAGGAACAGCAGTACTGTTTGGTTAAAAGGTAATATATATAAATATTTGTAGACTTGGAACTTTTAACGTATGTCTACTATCTTTTCAAACGAAGGTTACGAGGTAAACTCCTACGTGAATTTTTCTCTTTATAACACTGTAAAAATATTTTCGCATAATTCTACCTTATTTCATATCATTTTTATAATTCCTTGGTACGTTGATTTATTTCATTTTAATTTAATGTAACTTATTTAGTAGTATTAGAACTGAAAAGCCCCCTTGGGGAGTGCTAATAAAATCTGTACTGGCCCCCTCCTTCTAGGGGTGACAACAAATGGAAAAAAAGTTCACCAGTGTAAATGAACTTTTTGAAACGTTGCAAAGCGAAAATTGAATGATAGTGAAATTTTTTTCAAATGAGGGAATGAAAATCGCGTTAAAAGTGTTGAATAATCTGTTCGGATGAATTATCATTTCCATTTATATTGCAATATTTAACTTGGTCAGGCTAAGAACGGGAAATGACTTACTTGACGAAGCGAGAAAATCTATTCGAAACCAGTGTAGAGTATTTCATGTCATGTCCTATCTCTATAGGACCTAAAGAGCATACATGTAGATATTCGTCTCAAAAAGTTTTTTTTTTCAATCCGACGCCTTTTTCCCCTGAAATCGACACTTAAAGTTCCCGCTTGAGCCACGTCCAAGTTAATCGCGTGTCTCAAAAGAAAATGGCCCAGCTTCTAGCATGGTTGTCATGTCATTTCGAGAATGATAAATCTTGGAGCGAAAACTTTTTCTCCTGAAGATTCGTGTAAAATTCGTACCCTGCAAAAGCTTAGTAAGACATTCTACAGTACAAGACATAAACTGCTAAAAGAATGTGATTTAAACAACAACACTGTCATATTAGCCAAATCCAAAACATCGAGAACTTAGGAGGACGTGAACAACGACGGCTACGTTTTCAAATTTCTATTAGAAAGTGCATGCACTCTTCACGTGTTTTTTGAAGTGACATCTTTAGACACCAATTGACGCAACTTGCATGGACTTGGTTCAAGCAGGAAATTAATCCATTGTTAATAGAGGGAAATGGTTAAGAAGCACGGTAAACATCAGAAGCAAACAAAACAGGCTGCGATTTATGTTGGAAGGTCCTTGACCCTACACATCTTTTGTTGTATGCTTTAGGCTAAGCACGCATGAATTTCGTCATCCCAATGCTTCTATTGGTTAATCGCATTAGCACACGTAACCACCTTTTGTATTTTCCAGGTTTTGGGCAGGGTCAACCTCCAAAATAGCCAACAAAAAATAACCATTTCCTTTTTTTAACTATGGTTTAACGCACAATTTAGGGAAAACAATTGCAATCGTAAAAAAGCAAACGTTGGACTAATATCTATGCATCACAGGATTACTAAAACCTTACAAACCTTGTAGGCGATATGGGTACCTTAGAACAGTAGCTAAACATCGAGTGATTTTGTATCGGTAGATAATGCGTGTATTGTTGGTATCACCGGGGACTGAACTGAAGTATTACAATAACATTTTTTTAGTTATTAAAACACAAACAACGCAAATAGGACACTTTCCGATGCCAGAGAAATGTGCTATTTGAGAAATAGTCCATACCTCCCTCACAGCCCCCTTGCTATGGGCTATTTGCTTTCGTGTTTATTGATTTTTTTCCTCACATACATGTAAGATGGATTACAAAATGACCTAGTTCCTTAAAAAAATAGGTCCGCACTGCGTACTTGTGTGTGCGTAGCGTTCTCTTTGCTGTTTGAATTTTACGGGTTGAAGAAATTAAACTGAGCTGCTTATTGGAAACGGCCTTTTTTTGTCGGGATAGGGTACTGTTCCATACCCTTCTTTCTGCCGTTTTTCCTACCCGAATCCTATCACTTCCCCGTTTACACTTGCAACGCAGGCTGTATTTGTTACGGTGTTTAGACAATAGGTAGTCTGCTCACGGGAACCCATTAGCGCCGCTATTACGTCACTCTGTATCGCTGTCGCAGTGTTGCGCCTTTTTTTGACGAGAAATGTGTTCAGTTGTAAAAGACCTTTAGAGGAAGGGAGCTTTTTTAACTTCAATGAAGGTCTTTGGTTTATCATATGCGAAATAAAAATATCGTGCTACATAAAATTCCTGGGTACCTATTTTATCCGGAGTAGTTCTAAAACTAACATGTAGTAACTATTAATGTGCTATAAATTAGGAGAAGTAGGGTGAACCCACAATGTTTATTTATCACCTGTTTAACCCATAGGATCGTGAGATAAGAGAGAGGGGATATTCATTGATTAAATTTGCAGGCCGGAAGGCGTTGGCAGGAGATAGGCCGAGTCTTATAAAGAATGATAGGCATTTGACCTGGAAATTATCAGATGATATCGTTCAAGTTTTGTCTTTTGATTGTCACGGTAGGGTTTTGAGTGAGATGTTGTTAGCTGTCTCTGTTTTCTCTTTGTGTTGCACTGAAGTTGATAAGATCGTGTAAAGATACCAGATGCTGAAACCACGTACCTGAGAGGTATGGATTGACCCTTGTCGACCTTCTTGAAACACTTAACTTTGTCAACTCTATTATTACTGTTCAAAAGCAAGCTTTTTTAACTCATCGTAAAACACAATGACATATGTGCAATCGCAATTGGAGTATTTTGAGAATTTTAATTAGAAAATAGTATTTCGTATAGTGTGATCGTCCGGGTGAGGGTAGTTCTGAAAAGAACCGTTGTTGGTGACTGACGTTTCGACAACCTGAGCGGAAGTCATCTTCAGAGTCAAATGAAGAGTCTTTGTCAGTCGATGATGTGATAAGTCTGGTCCGTTGAACATGATAATATATATGTATTTGAATGTACACATTGTAGCACATCATTTCTCACAAGCAAAGCATCACTTCATTCCACACTTTGTATTGTGTAACAACTCGTTTCAGTTTTGGCATTAGAATTAACGTCTTGGCTCCAAGATTTGTAGCCAACCTCGTTCCCAAGCTCTCTCTCCTCTGCCTCCATTGGTCGTTGGAAGAGAGACCCTGGTTGCGGCTGGTCACGTGACCACCCAGAATCTGGGTGGTAAAAAAACCTGTTGGGCGGAAGGGGTGGCAGAGTGTTTTGATTGTTGTTGTGACGAACTTTGTGGGTTTCAGAACCTCAAGCAGCCGCTAAAATCTACCCGCTTTATCCAGGTTCGAAGTCGAATATTTGCCGACTTTCGACTTTCGTTACGAAGAAATTCGACAGCCGAATGGTGCATTTGCCCGTATGTGACTCAATATGGCGATGACCAGCTATGATCGAAAAAAAATTATTCGTTGTCTTTACCCCAGTGGAAAAGTTTGTGTCACAGGTGGTCACGTGACCAGCCGCAACCAGGGTCTTTCTTCCAACGACCAAGGGAGGCAGAGGAGAGAGAGCCTGGAAACAAGGTTGAATTGTAGCAAATTATCCACAATACGACATCGCTGCCCGTAATTGGCGCCACGCGCATCGTATTCCAGAACTGATCCTTAAAACGCGATAAGGCATCTTTTGCATTTACGAAATGGTTATGAAGTTTGACAGAAGATTTAACCATTCTTGAATCAAATTCAAGTGATACTTCATCTGCACACTCATTTTTTGAAGACTTTGGGTCGATGACGATGATCTGAAATTTGCTGGGATTGGCTTTTAAGAGGTTTTCTCCATATGACCGCGTGATCTTCTCAGTTTCTTCCTTAAGCTCTTGAGCGGCCTTCTCGATGGAGTCTCTAATCGTGTACATTTGGTGGTCGTCTGCGTACATAAAGAGGTTCTCTGAGTCTGTATATGATGGAGATCGTTTTGAAACAGGTCCTGTAAGAGAGTTTCAAAAGACAAACCCTGAGGACATCCTTTTCTTTGTTATTTCCATACATTTTTAAGACTTTGCAACTTTACTCGATTTTTTTCTGGACACCAGGAAAAATCGCATAAGATTAACGGAATTATCTGAGAAGCCGTATGCCTTGAGTTTCTGAATCATTAAAGCGGGGTGTAACGAGTCAAACGCTTTGCTCGTATCCGTGAATAGTACAGTCACGCAATCTTTCCTATCAGCAGCTGCTCTCCAGTCCTCAATTAACCTCAATACTGTTGTTTTGCAGCTGTGTTGTTTTCTGTACGCTGACAGTTTTTGATACAAGTGTAACAAAAACCTTTTAGATTTTTCTACTTGTGTATGTGTAAATGTTCTAATTTTAATGTATCCACTTAAGATGTTATTACTGTTCCTGGTTAGTTTGTCACAAGCTAAATACCTCGACACTTAAATAAAGTCCTACTACTTACGAAAGCCGATCTTTGACCGGTATTGTTCAACCGAGATTCGCATACTAACTTTTGATCTTGAAAACGCAACTTCAGGGTGACTGTAAAACACTGTTCAAGTTTCAGTGTTTCTAACAATGCAAGTACAATGGAAGTGCAAGACAGTCTTTTTCAGTTTCTGAGAGTTTATGACAATCTCTGACAATCTCTGACAATATGTCTCACTTAGAAGTGCTATATTATTATGTTCAAGCCCATATAAATGTTGGCTCGCGAGATATTGGCTTGCGAAAATACGATGACTCCTTTCGCTCAATGGGGCAAACCACGCCGAACATTCAGGCCGATAAATGTTAGCTTGCGAAAGCGTACCCGTACCTGCGCAACCTGCACTTACCACAAGCCGATCGCGAGTCTTGATATGTTGGCTTGTGTGAGCAAAACAACTCCCGATATGGACACTTGAAGGAATAATGAAAGAGAGCCATCAATAAACAATACAGATGCAATCAACATTTTCAAAGCCTAAACGAAATTAGGAAGCAGACTTGCAATTAAGCACAAGCTTAAGGACGTTCGCGCTAATTGTTTCTGCTCATCCGTACTGCGCAAGCAAATTAACACGCCACGTCTTGCATCGATGCGCGCGCAAAGTAATAAAATGAACAATGATAGGGCAGATGGCCATTGCTATAGCTCACCCTGGAGTTAACGATCTTGGACGTTCAGTGGCCCCTATTTTTCTTTTGATGTATCTTTTTCTCTAGCGATTTTCTACGTTTGGCGAAACAATGAAGAAAATCTATCGATTAGAAGTTTGAATTTTTTGCAAAATGCACCATCGAATTCCGTGTGTTTATCTGTGTGGCGGTTTCAATGCCTCTTGAAGAGTTAAGTTTTGTGAAAACGTTGGCAACATTTGGAATTATTTACGCAACAGACCCACTTCTACAAAATATAACTAAAATCGTTTGCCTCCGTTGACTCACGTTAACTATAAACCTCTGTAAACCATGGTGAATTACGAGCACCAATTTTTCAAAATCAGGGTAGTTTTCCACACGCTTTATCTCTGAAACAAAGACGGTGATCCCCATTTTTTTTTGCATTTCTGAAACAAGTAACTCATTATCTGACTGCGGTAAAAATTTAAAAAAAATCTACCTACTGGAAAATTTTCTCGCGAACGTCCTTAAATACAAAATTACGAAGGATACGAAGACAGATTTTCAAAACATGCAAACAGATAACGTACCGCATCTCAAAACAAGCCATAAAAGAAATAAACCTACCTTGGCAACTGAAAGCTGGGAAAATAAAAATGAAGTGTCTTAAAACCGATAAATGCTACACAAAAGCGAAGCGGCCAGCACGAAGGAGGTAGAAAATCCACTCGCACAAGCCAACTAGCACCCAATCCTCTCATCTATAGGATCTAAATAAGTGCCTAGTCGACTTAAGAGGCGAGCTAGCCCAAGCAATGCACCACGAGCCCTCTAACTTCCATTGTATCTCTGAAAGTATTTACTCGATGGTAATTAAAATAAAGTAGTTTATTTTAAGCTTATATGCCGCGTAAAGTACCCAAACTTGTTAAATCATATGTCCGCACTAGGTTTAAAATGTTTTCACGCCGAAGGGCCGTTCAAAGGTATTACTCTGTTCACGCATGTTTTTTTAATAACAATGACAATAATAATAAAAAGAAAAACTAAAAGTGATCAGGATGCAAAAATCCTTACTTTACTTGTCAAGTTCATAACAATGTTTTCCATTTGCTAATATTTACTGAAATATTAGATGGATTGTAAACAGAGTTTTAATCAGTAAATCTATATATGCAAGTGCAACGGTGGGTTTGTGGTGACGCAGATATTATCATCTCATCTCATTTCATTAAGATACACCATTTCAACAAGAAAAGGACTACATGAAAAAATCACATCTTTTTTTATCGAAAGGACTCAGGGTTCGTTTGTCTTTGGGTTCCCCGCTAATTTTCGTTGCAAAACTTGACTTTCTAACTGTACTCAATATTATTTATTTCTTTATTTCTATTCTTATGTGCATCTATTTATTTAAATTGAGAATTATGTCCGCCGTTAGATCGTGAAAAGTTGTTTTGTTCACACTGCGTTCAAATTATATCTGTTGCTCATATCTGGCGACAGATTATCTTAGATGGCCCACGTTAAGGATCAGATCGACAGAATAAAAGAAACATGTGACTATGGATTTCAATCAGGAGAAAGGGTTGTAATTAACAAAAGAAATTTGCCACAGGGCACACTGCAAAGTCTGACAAAACAGTAGCATACCGCACATTCTATTGAGAGCGCTTAGTCGGTGAGCTGTCTACCCCATTAACTGAATATCTTTTAATTGCCCACTTTATAACAACTGTTATCGACAAAGGGTTGTTTTGAGTTTCGCGAGTGATCCTTTTGTAACGTTTGTTGAAAAGAATGCAATATGTAAATCAAGGTCGTTTAACACAATTGCTTTAAGGGTTATTCAGTGGTTTCTGTGTTTCTAGATAAGAGGTGGCAGAAATGGTCATCTTTTAGAATGCAAAGTTGGTTTACGGAATATGATGCTTTGAAAGTAAAGGTTTCGTCCAATATTCATTATGAAAATAAATTTACATTTCAGTGATTAGATGGCAATCATTTTAAAATTTTCAAATCTGTCTTTTGTCTGAGGTAGCAGAATAAATTATTTCCTTTGAAGTGGAGCCGAGCTAAAGAGAATTAACGTGGCAAGAAGGCCATAACGAAGCTATGTACCGACCGGTCAGTCTTTGTGTTGTATTTCTTCAGCTGTTTTCCAGCGATCAAATCTTCGCTGCAGGAGCAAACATCTCATTGGAGACTTTAGATGAAGTTGGTAAAAGCACGAACGAAACCTCTTCACCTGAATATTGTGCGGCAACAGAGGGTCCTAGCCAACTTACCACAACAATACACGTTTTAACTTTGTTAGTATCCCTGGTAGGAAACATTCTCCTCATTACTGCCTTCGTGAGAATGAGGGAACCGATCTTAGTCCTTGTTGCTAACATGGCTGCATCCGACCTTCTGGTGGCAGTGTTCCTAATCCCTCGTCTAATTACCAGAGAAATCATCGGCTCTAACGCTTTCCTAGTTCATGGAAATGGAGGCACGTTTCTCTGCAAGATGTGTACTTTCTTTAGTGACATATCATTGTCGGTTTCGACTCAGAGTTTAGTCTTGATTTCCGTTGAGAGATTCCTAACGATTTGGTGTCCCATATTGTATAAGAAACTCACCGTGAAAAGACGTCGGTTTCTCGTCGTCTCTACTTGGATCATGGCTATGGCATTACATTCGCCATATTTTTACACGTTTCGACTTGTAGCCGCTAATCCTAAGAATCCTGACTATCAAGAATGTCAACCTCGTTGGGATCCGGCTTTCGATCACCAGTCAGCACAGCTTCGCTACGTCATATTCCTGTACGTTACAGTATTACTTATACCACTGCTTGTAATCTCTGTTCTGTACACTGCAATCATAACCACTGTCCGAAGGGACAAAATGGCATCTTACAGAAGTACCAAAGGCGCGAAACGATGCAAGGAGCGCAACAGAAATTTACAAAGGATGGCTATAGCTACTGTAACTGCGTTTTTAATATGCTGGGCCCTCTTTATAGTGATTTCGTTTCTCAAACTCTTTTCTCCGAACACTGTTCCTAAATGTAATAACAGTTTCAAAGTACTGGATTACGTTTCTCGCGTATTGGCGAGCTCCTACTGTGCAGTTAATCCATGCATTTGCTTTATTTT